GGCCACACTTTGAAGCGTAGCTCTAAAACAACTATATAGAAATGATGGCCTTTAGAAAGTTCTACGCTCATTTAGGCACCCTGAAAAGCGTTGCCTAATGTTAAAAGTTTGTCTTGATCAAATGCACACTTTTGATATTCAGGCACACTTTTTTGAAACGTGGCGAAAGGCTTTAAAAATGATGTATATAGTTGCTACTTAATGTATCCATTATCTGAGCGATGAGCTCTAGAGAAGAGAGAAAGAGAAAGAACGAAATTACCTGAGCTGTGGTATATGACATTTGCTTATATGATTATGCTAAATTCTTATAAATAGGTTACGAAACCCTTTGCCTTTATTTCTTTGCAATCTAGAATATTGAATCTCTCATACCTTCTATTGTCCTTCTTCATTCCAGAGTTCTTTTTCTCCTTGATTCTTACTCTATTTGTCTTTCTATCCTTTGACTTCTTGCTACCATGACTCTTCTTGCTTACATCTACTCTACACATAAACAAAGATGGTCAATGTGTCCTCAGTTCCAGGGGGTACCTGACCCTGTTCCATGCAGTGCGGCTCTCATACGATGGTTGCCATTTTGCTGAAATGAAGAATTCCTCTGGTGAAAATAATCCCCGTAGTGAGAAGCTAGATTGACTTTTCAAAATGCCAAGGACGACCACTAGAGGTCTCGATTTGTTGATGAAGATGGTGGGCCTTGGCCGAACTTAGGAAATTCAAAATCCTGCCACACTAGATCTAGTCAGCTCGGGCCAACTGTGCAATACACCGCCCGGATACTGCGCTTTTTACGCGTACCCTATTATATACAGGTAATTTCGACATGACCACCCTTAAGGATATTACCTTCCCCCTAGTTTTCCTGGGCACTCATTCCTTGTACTAGGGAACTGATTCAGAAGGAAGGATCTCACCAAGAAAGGAGTTACGGCCAGTCCATATAAAACTTACTTATATCATAGTTAATAAGTAATGTTTGTATTATTAATTATTTAAACCTATATAAGTTATATTTTTTGTGTAAATATGTATTTCTCATCGTATAGCCTCAAGTAATAGTTATTTTATTTCCCTCTCAGCTGTGCAAACGACGGATAGATTGCTAATAAAGTGCTCTTGAAGTTTTAGATCAAGTCACAAATTTCAAATGTAAAATTAAAAAGCTTTAGAAGTCTGTATTCACAAATGATTAGAAAAATATTAATATTATGGAAAGAATGGATAAACTATGATTAGCAATTGGTACTATCTTCATAATTGACAAATATAGCACTAAAAACACGGAAAATTTTCCATCAACGCGTTTACAGATTTATAATAGCATTTGTATATGGCTTATTTACTTAACTTACAATTAGTTATAGCACTCTACATCTTATTAATGTCTTAACCATGATAATCTGATTATATTATAACACTTTGATTAATTTGCGAGAATGAAATTGGAAAGTCTAATGTTCTAATAATTTATAGACAGAAGGGAAACAAGTACAGGAAAAAAAAATATTGCACCTGATATTTAGACAAGCAAATAAATGGTAATGTATCTTGCATAATAAATTTTCATCACTTAATTATGAATTGTTTTTACACTTTTATTTGTGATTCTTATAATTAAATTGCTTTTATTTGGTATAACTTCAAATACATTAAATAAAATAATATGCAATACCTATACATAAAAATAACGACGCTACTAATTATGCTTCAATCTCAAACAAGTTAGTATTAATCATAAATTTTTGGATGATTCGCTCATTAAACCTCATCTCAGGCTAATCACATACAAAATAAAAAATAGAAAGCAAAAGTTAAACATCACTCTCTGTCTTTGTTCTGACAATCTGCAATGCCGTGCATATTTTGAATTTTAAAACAAATTATGCTTATATACATTTCTACACTTTTATTTGTGTAATATTTATAATATTTATATTATAGATTTGTAGCAGTAGAGGGCATGTTTCCGACATTTTTTACATTAATATAAGCTCTTTTTGCTGGCACTTGTCAAGCATTTTAGTTTTATGTAAAGATTTATTCCAGAGAGACAGAAACTTCATTTATGCTTTTTTCTAAAATTCATTATATTATTATTTATTATGTTATTGTTATTATTATTAGAACCCGCATATAGAGATGTTAAACAACATAATAACATATTCAGTGTTAATACTATAATTCACAAGTGAGGTGATAGGGTAATGTTACGCAGATCTGTATCCTACCTTGTGAAGATAGAAAAGCTATTTCGATAGCCCTCGGCTCAAGGAAAGCTAATTACAACAATTTAGAAAAGGAATACGATAGTAAAGAAGCCATGAAAAAGAAGCCTTAACACAGCCCTAAGTCCTGCGACACGGCAATTTAGTGTCGCACCCGTGTCGACACGACACTTAGTAGGGTGTGGGTATGGGTCCGTACCGGATCTGCTCAAATAATTTTGATACTTGTGACCACGACAGACGAAAAATTCTAGACGAGATACAATTTGATTCCCGAAATCAAAAAGAAAATAGGTAAATTGAAGAAATAACTTACTTTTATTAGAGAATCTAAACTTTATTTATATTGAATTTCAGAATAAAAGAAATCCATACTTTACAAGCTAGACGTAAGTATTCCAAAAATATTTCTCATAATTTAGAGATATTTTTATTTTTTGCGGATCGCCTACCCGTATCGTACTAGGTCCCTATCCCAATCTTAGAATTTACATCTCGAAGGATCGACCTCTAGATCCGTACGTATCGGACAACCGCACTCATGTCCAAGCACTTAGAAACAGCAAGTAATAAGAAATGAAGGCAGAAGAATATCAGGTATTAATAGAAATCAATAATAGGGAAATACATAGAATAATACTAGTATACTGATAAAAAGAAAAAAACAATCAGACTACATATTCTTTCTACCTATTTTTCGGCATCCACACATTCCTATTGAGTGTTAATATTACATTTGTTCTGTAGCTCAAAATCTTACAAATTAGTTTTCATGTCTTTATAAAACAGGAAAAGTAGGATATTCAGGCAATTACCACTCGCATCCATTTGTTTCACATTTCTAATACTCCTTCATTTTATGCGTTCCATTTATATGCAATATTTGACTAAATTTCATAATTTACCATGTCTATTAATTGAAGTCGTAAT